AGGTCTCACTAAGTTGCGGAGGCTCTCCTTGAACTTATGATCCTCCTGCCTCAGCCTACTAAGTCCCTGGATTATAGGTGCTCACTGTGGATGTATAGAATGCAAAATTTTTGGATGGCAATATTTGCAGCCTTACATGTGCTGCAAATGATGTTTTCCACTTGGAAAATAAATCAGAAGATAATAATATAAGGTAAATAAGGTACAATCTAATAGTAGTGGGGAAGAAAAGTCTGCACAAGTACACAAATTTCTCTATAGCTCCATTGCTTATCTTGGTGATCCAGCTAGCTAATGACAGTACCCATTAATTCCTTCCTTTAACTTTTAAACATTTAACTTTTTCTTGGTTTGTGAACACTCTTCTAGCTACTGAGATATATAGCAATTACCAGTATCTTTCCTCCAAAAGGCCACTAGTAAAAGAGTGTTTATCATGTATAATGTCCTGTGCTTAGTCCCAAACTTGGCCTTGGCCTTGAACTTGGCCTTAGCTGCAGTTAAGGAGGTAAACCACAGTAGCCAAAACACAGTATGTTTTCCACCTGCCATACCAGCTGTGCCCCAGTGACCCAGATCCTGCTAATCATGATGTAGTCCTGTTCGACATTCTTTGGACAAGCACACAGGACTGTTATTGTTTAAAACAAGGTACAGGATTGATGATTTTCTCAGTAAAATTCAAGATAGGTTTTCCTTCTTCTTCAGTTAAACATACATGTATCCACACAAAGAAGGGAAAGGTAGGGGGAAAGCACTTTGGAAAAGCCCCTCCTATCCCCCTCCTCCCAGCCCCATGATGCAACTGCTTCTCCCTCTGCTACACTACCACCTTGCCGCCATCCTGCTGTTCTTGATGATTCCTACTGGGATGCACACAGCACAATCTGGGGCATAGGAGCAGCTGTCTCTGCCAGGAGCTCTCTGCTCAGAGATGGAATCATAACCCTGTAAAATTAACAGTTGTGAATGGAGCACGGAGCCAAGATGCTGTTATTTATTTTATTCTATCTTGAGTTTTCTGAATGAGACACTATCTTATACGTTAGGACATCTGTACTTGGGCACTGATGCCAAGTGGTTCTCCAATACAAATGCTGCTCCTCATAAAGGTTAAAAAAAAAAAGATTATTTCAGAGTCAGCAGGTGTACAGAAAAGACCCTCTAGTAACTCAAGAATTCTTAGAGCCTTGTTTTCCCTATAAAAACATGAAGAGGATGAAGCACTTTAAAAAGCTGGAAAATACAAAAATAAGAAAGCTGAGAATCTGCATATAATTTAAAAACTACACAGAGAAAGCAAAAGCTCTTCTCAATTTTCCTCTTTCACAGAGCATCTGCTACTTTGACTTTACAGATGATCAGGATTTAAGTTGGTGTCTATAGCATCTCTGTTAAAATGACTATCTAGAAAGGTTCAGACTAGACTTGGATGCTTATCCAATAATTTGACTGCTAATCAGGAATATAAAGAAAACAAGAGAAGAAGATGAGAAAATCAGGAAAGACCAACTACAGTCAGGAGGGAGAAGTGAAGCCAATTCCATAAGATCCAGGTACCCAAAAAGGTAGGTAGGTAGGTCCACTCAAGGAGATGTTCCAAGTACTCCACAGACATGCAGCTTCTCCTGGAGGATCTCAACTTCATTAGAGATTTAAAGAAACTAGATATTAGGGGCTGATTGGGAAAAAGACAACCAACACTCTAAATATTTTCCAGATAGATTGAAAAAAAAGAGGAAAGGGGAAAGGAGTGGTGGGAACAGAGTAGAAAGGGGAGATGGGTATAAAATGTGGATGTAAAGCAGACAAGACTGGGTTGGGTATGTGTGTGTCTCTTTTGCATTTGTAATTGATTATGTTAATAAGGCTTAAATTATAGGCTATTCTTCTGGTAAAGATCTTTTTGTCGTACTTAAAGTAACTGGTCCAGAAGTGTATTTTGTTAAGGGAGGAGTCAAGGAGAAAAAGAGCATTTCCCTAGATTGGTTGCTGGGGTAGTGCAAGGTATGGGGATACTTAAAACTTCTCCCCTCAAGAAAGAGAAGAAAAGGGACATTTAAGCCCAGAGAACCAGAGATCACCAGAAAATTCAGCACAATGCTTTCAATTTCTAAAAGGGGAATACATAGCTCTCAAAAGTTAAATGACTTCCAAAATTCATAGAGTGAGTGAGTCAGTGGCCTAACTTTTATTTGAACTCGGGTTCTCTTCTCTAAGTTCACCTACCTTCCAAGTTCAACTTTATTGCACCTAGAATAGTTTGGAATTTCCTGTAGCAGAAAATCCATAAAGCATCATATCAACATTCTCATTCATTTATTCATTTGACAATTCTGAATTTTTATGCTAAGCACTACAGGAATGCACATGCAATACACACACGCACACAAACACACATTCACATGTGAGGAGATGGATGCTGTCTCTACCCATGCAGGATTCTTTCTTAAGTACACTTAAATAACTTCATAGTAATGTATCGATAATTTTCCAGAAATTCATAGTAGATGTCTGATCTTACTCTCAACTTGTAAAATAAGACCAATAGTCCAAAATTATGAGTTCCAAATGGAAGATGTTCAGAAAAGGGATCAGTGTTGAATGACTAGAGATTCAGCTCATAAGTTTCAGTAAATATTGATTTCTTTTTTAACTCAGTCTTGCCACAGATAAACTTTGTGCTAAGCTCCGATGTTTTCTGAGGGAATTTCAAGATTCTTTGATTTTACATGGAATTCTCGCTATCTGTGAATGTCCCCTGAAGGGGACATTAGATGTAGTACATCATATGTAGAAAGAGTATCATTATGAATTGCCATGATCATTTCACGAATCTTTATTGCTAAGGTTTAATTTTTTTAATGAATGTTGTATTTACAAGCTGTGTAATTTGTGAAATTTATAGGAAACCCAACTACATGAGCACTTGATTTTTCAGAAAAACATTAAGATCTTGGGTGAACATTGGTCTGATGAAGTAGTACCATTATCCTAACATTTTGGAACCTAGTTAAATTTCTAAATTGATTAGACAAAAGAATGATAATTTTTATTGACATTTAATAATCACAGATGAGAAATCCAGAAAAATCCGTTTGAATATGCAGTTTTGTTGCTCTGGTTAATGTTTCCTTTCTCTTTGGGCAGAAAGAAGGAATAGACAACTTAAGTTTTATTCTAAAATGTCCAAACATTTGCATCCATTATGTTACAAAGAGCAGTAGGCAAAACCCCATGACTTTCAGAACTAAAAATAACATCATTCATCTTCCTGGGATACCTCAATCCGTTTAAATTTTTCCAATTATCATAGGAATACCTCAACCTTCCAAGCAAAGAAAAACTTGGCGCTCTCTCTTCTGCTGTTACTAAAAATATATATTTTTATTTATAGCACTTCCAATGTTTTTAAGTATTGATTTTTAAATGCCTTTAAAATTATTGACAAATACCAATTCTTCTAAGAATATCTTTAGTAAACCAAATTGTTGTCAAATTGAACCCAAGACATTTTTGAGATGCAAAATTAAAGAGGCAAAGATATCCTAAGAATGCTTTCTTAAGCATGTTTTCATTTTCATGCTCATCCGATTTTTACGTACCCTGAGAAGCAGAATAAAGTGTTGGTGGATATACATGAAATCTGGCCAGCATCTAGTTATGGCTCATTCTACTTTTTGTTAATAATTTAGTGTGTTAAAATCCACATAATTTCACTCTGTTTTTAAGCATCATTGATACTCTTTCTATATACTTTAGAGAAAATATCCAAGTACAGTAGAGATTTTATACTTTGTTTGAACCTAGTCAAAGACCAGAAATACAGTAGAGTGTCCCTAATAAATGAAAAAAAAAAAAATGGAGGATGGATAAACTTCCTCCAGTTCTATAGATGAAATATCTTTGCATGTTTCTGGGCAATGTAGGAAAGCAGGTGTTATTTAAAAAGATGAATAGTCACATCTGGGATACATAGGGATCCCTCAACACCAAGTCTGATTTGAAGGTCTAACTATGAATGGAATGAGAAGCAGAAAAGGAAACTTGAAAATGCTGACAGAGGGGTAGTGAAGGAACTCCCAGGGGACACTGAGCCACATTCCCAGCCCTTTTTATTTTTTATTGTGAAACAGGGTTTCTCTGAGTTGCTGAGGCTGGCCTCAAACTTGTGACTCTCCTATCTCAGCCTCCCAAGTAGTCGGGATTACAGATGTGCCCCACAGCACCCCATCCTTATCCCCTTTAAATAAATGTATAGCATCATATTACAGCTTCAGAGTCATAATAGTGGACAAGCAATGTTCATTGATTGACTGACTACATAAGAAAACCAAATATCCTATGTAATTGTAATGTTAATTTTTCAGGAAATAGCTAGTGATTAAAAGATAAGTCTTTGGTCCATTTTCATATATTTCTTATTTAACCTGTATGGCTCACATACTTCCAAAATAATATGAGACAGTATATTCAGCACATTATAAAACACTATTGGAGAAAAATTCAGTTTCCATTCAGAAAAGTTTTCTTTCAGTTTATTTTGTATATTTGCAAACCTATTTTCCACAGAGACAAAAAGAGAAAGGTAAAAAACACATTACAATGGACATCTTCTAACATATAAAACTCAGTATATAAGAAAGATATCTATTTTGCTGCTGATTCCCCATTTTCTAGAATGGTAACTGACACACAGCAGGTGCTCAATTAATATTTGCTTAATGAATCAAAAATTTCAGCTTCTAAAGTAGCATCACTTCACAAAAATGGAACAGGAGGCTGAGGATTGCAAGTTCAAAGCCAGCCTCTGCCACTTAGCAAGGCCTAAGCAAATTAGTGAGATCCTATTTCTAAATAAAAAATAAAATGGGCTGAGGATGTGGCTGAGTGGTTAAGTGCCCCGGATTCAATCCCTACTACAAAAAAAAAAAAAAAAAAAAAAAAAACAGACAGGACAGGCAAAGAAGTTGGGATTTCTTTGATTGATTGATTGATTTTTTAATATGGAACATTTCAGGAAGTTTCATGTCATCCTTGCACAGGGGCCATGCTAATCTTCTCTGTATCATTCAATTTTAGTATATGTGCTGCCGAAGCATGCACTGAGATTTAATTTTGTTAACTTTTATTAAAATTCTTCACTTCCCAATGATAAACTTCAAGAGCATCTGATTAAAACAAATGTTTTTCCAATTATAGATGTGAATTCGAGGGGTCCAACAGGAGAGACTTAACAAAACTGTTGACATGCCATTAATAATAACAGTAACAAGCAGTTAGAAATAGCAAAGATATAAACAACAAAGATAAAGACAACTGACATTCATCTTTCTATGTATTAGATAGACTCATATCAATAAAATTAGTTTTCATGGGGAATTATTGAAGAATCTCTATTTCCCTCTATTAATACTTAATCTGTGTATTCTCCAAGGTCTAAGAAAAATAGATTGGGGAGTCTGGTCCTTTAGTTATTAAAAAAAAAAAAAAAGACCCATTTCCTCAAACTGGGGTTGGGAAGAGCCTAGAGTTGAGATATTTATGCTGGTCATCTGTCAGGGCACATTCTGGACAGAATCTGACTGAGCTCTTCCAGATAACCTTTGGGTATGGTAGGCATAGTTACAAGGTGTCTAACTAAAGCAAGGACCAAAGTCACTGACACTCAGGTAAAAACCTGGTGAGAATCTGCCCTTGGAGAAAGGGATCTTCTGCTCTTGAGCAATGGAAACCACTCTTCTGATGTTTCCTGCTGCCAGAAGCTTATGTTGACAACCTCTAGAGGTGGCACACTCAAAGGAGAGAAGGGCAGGGGAGGTGAGGGAGACACTAAACTCAGCTCTCAGATCACTTTGCCTGTAGTGGCTACTGAGGTTGAAACAAAAGGGAGGGACTCCCCATCAGGCTGCTAAAAAGGCTGACATCACAGACCAGGCCATGAGAGGTACTGTGAGGCTTCGGCTGACAACTGGAGGAAGACTAGAATAGCAGGCAGCCAATACATCTGGGGGGAAAAAAAAAAAAACAGAAAAGCATCCTACCAGCAGACAGCCCCCTGTACCATCACCAGAGGTGAATCCTTCCCCATGAGACACCAAGAGCAAAACACATACTAAGTGCTAGAGACGGTCAGAGCCAATCAGCAGGAAGGGAGCCCCTAAGCCTGTGGAAGTTAATAAAACAAACTTCTTTCCAGATAAGACCCAACAAAATGTCTCTTATTGGACAATCACGAATACAAGATACAATGAGATAAATATTTATTTAAATCACTATGTTCCTTCTATTATATGAAACATGACCATTGATCTATCTTTCGGTAATTAAGCCCCTTTGTAAATTATATTCTGAGTCAGCAAGTGCTTGCTTGGTACATTTTGTTCAATGAGTAAGAGTCCTTCCTCACCCTCTCTAACATACACCTTTCCCCAGATATTACCACCCTTGGTCTGCTTATGTTATAGTTTGCTATAGTTTTTGAGGTGTCTCCCCAAAAGTTGTTAATGCAGGAATGTTGAGACAAATCTATCAGATTATGCAAGCCATAATCTAATCAATGGATCAAGCTGTTTAGTGGATTAATAATTTGAGTGGATTCCTGCTGGTAATTGTAACAGATGGGGCATGATAGGAGAAAGTAGGTCCCTGGGGGGTATGCCTTTGGGGATTATATCTTTTCCCTGGCTCCTTGCTGTCTTGCTTCTGGACTGCCATCAGCTGATGGCAGCTTTTCTCGGCCATGTCATGCTCCTCTGCCACAGTTCTTCCTCACCTCAGGTGCAGAACTATGGAGTAGGTCACCCATGGACCAAACTTCCAAAAGTGAGCCCAAATAAACTTTTCCTCTCAAAGTTGTTCCTGTCAAGTATTTTGCCCACAGTGATGAAAACCTGACCAACACAACTTGCCTTGCTTTTCCTTTTTGGTATTTCCAATCATCTGTCATATGTTTTTATTTCATTAATAATTAAAACTTTCCATGAAAGTTTTAATTATTAAACTCTGAGAAAAAAAACCCTGTCAGTTTTGTACAATCCTCAAAACTTTAATTGCTAAAACACCTCCAGGACCCAGTTGACCCTTGAAAAGTACTTATTGGTAGTTGTTAAGAGACTACATGCCACATGGCATTGGTGATCACAGAGCCTATAAGCGGGAGGCTTTCAGTAAACTGGGTATCTCTGCTCTGTTCTGCTGTGGTGCTGGGAAATTTCATCAAGACTCTCTCTAGCAGTCATCTTTCTCTAACCTCTTACATTTATGAGTGGATAGTATATGCATTTGGCATTTAAATTCAATCCTTGAAATAATTGTGAGAGTGGAACACATCACTCTGTTTTTCATAATCAAGCCACCTAAGAAAACAGAAGATCTAGTGCTATCCAGCTTCCAAATGACAGGCCCGTCTTCTGTCCTACTCCTTATCAGTGCCTTTTAAAGTACAAGGTAGAAAGCCAATAGTGCTTGCTCTTTAAGAGCATGGGTTATGAAGTTAGACATGTGGAGGTGTGAAACCCAACTCTACCACTCACCAACTCTTGACCTTGAACAAGTCATCCTCCGGTTCCTTATTTGTAAAGTAGAAGAATAACAGGAAGATCCTATTGGGTTGTTGTAAAGAGTAAACAAATTAGTATACTTGCACAGTCCCTGACACATAGTATATGCTGGAAAAGGAGTACATGCTACTATTTTTATCATCATCATCATTGTCATTATGATTATCCTTCTCAGAGTATCTTCTACATCATCAAGAGACTAAGCTAAGACATGTGAGTAAGATAAATACCAAAGGAAGTTTGGTCATTATACCTCACTCACCCCGTAATCAACTGACATCCTCACCTGGGAGGGGAGATGTTCTTTAACTCTATGGTCATACTGAGCAATCTCTCCTCAAAGAGATAAGCAGAAAACTATCTTAAAATATGCCACAATATTCGAATAAGTTTGTTCCTATCCCTACGAAGTGTGGTGATCTGATTACATTGTCAAGGTTAAATCACAGTCCTTTCTTCTGCCAACTGATTTCCTCTCAATCTTTACCTTTATCCAACCCTCAAACCTCCACATGTTCCACCAGCTTAGTGATAAAGTCTATTTATTTTCAAAATATGAACTTCACCTGACACTCAACTCATTCCACAAAAAAAAAAAAAAAAAAAAAAAAACCCTCATTTAGCTACTGTTTTATTTATCAACCCAGCGCTGACCCAGATATATCCCTTACACATCCAGTAAAACAATTGCCTATATAGTTTCTAAAAGCTACTCTATATATTTATGTCTGGTAATCCTCATATCTGGTAAGAGTTATGAATGCAGACATTTGTGGGGGACTAGCTTAGAAGCATCTGTTCTTAAGGAGAAAGAGCATTATAATCTCAGATTCCCAACTCTATGGCCAGTGCTCCCCCACATGCTAGTTAATAGTACCTAAGTGTCATGTATCTAATATCTAGTAAAAATAAATATATGCTATCTTCAGAGTGCAAGTTATTATAATGTCTTCTGGTGAGAGAAATGGAGAAGAACTTGCGACTCCAAAAAAGAAAAAATGACAAGGGCTTAAACCCGTGAATTACACACTATGATGTACTTTCAAGTTAAATTTTTTCCTCAAGGAATTACAGTGAAGTAGACTGAGTAAATGTGCTATCATATTTGCAAAATGAGGAAACAGATTGGTGGAAAGCTCTATAGTTAGGAGAATATGTCTTAAATTTAAGTCTCTAATCTCTTACATTTTAGAGAACCTAACAAAATCAAACTAAAAATTCAGTGCTAAATATTCAGGAAGTATCATAGAATAAATAGCATTACTAACATAAACTCTGAGACTACTGGAAGTACTTTTGTTTGTTTGTTTGTTTTGGGGGGGGTGGGGTACCAGGGATTGAACTCAGGGGCATTCCACCACTGAGTCACATCCCCATCCCTATTTTGTATTTTATTTACAGATAGGGTCTCACCGAGTTGCTTGGCGCCTGGCTTTTTGCTGAGGCTTTGAACTCAAGATCCTCCTGTCTCAGCCTCCCAAGCTGCTGGGATTACAGAGGTGCCCTAGTGCCTTGCTGGAAGAATTAACAGAACAGAACCAGTCTTTATCTCAGGCCTTAGGAAAGAAGTACCTTCAGAAATCTTTTAAAATAAACCTTTGTATTTGAAGTGGCTGGTAGGATGATCTTATAGGGCTCTGCCATCTGTCAGAAATAATTTTACACATACCTTAATGTTCTATATCAGACACCAGGTGGTTTTCCTTTTAGAACAATACTTGGGAAATCTCACCAAAAAAAAAAAAAAAAAAAAAAAAGAGAAAGTATTTTTCTCCCCAATTTGAAAAGATACATTGTTAGATTCTTCCATATGTGAAAAAAAAATCAATTAAAATTTTTCTTTGTTAGGCTGAGGCAGAGGACAGAGGGCAGGTGAGGGAGTGAAGTGGGATGTTGGGTACAGGTCATATAATTCTGAGTATGAATACACTATAATTTTAATTGAATCTTCATCCCCACGCAGCTGAATTATTTAATGTAAATACACAAGAACCTACAAAAATCTGTAAATCATCCAGGCGCAGTGGCTTATGCCTGTAATCCCAGTGCCTGGGAGGCTGAGGCAGGAGAAGCTCAAGTTCAAGACCAGTCTCAGCAACTTAGTGAGGCCCTAAGCAACTTACCAAGACCCTGTCTCAAAATAAAAATCAAAAGGGCTGAGGATGTAGCTGAGTGCTAAAGGATCCCTGGGTTCAGTACCCAAAAGGAAAAAAACTCTTCTAAGTTTGTTCTAGTTGCTCACGTTGGTACTGTGCTTATTCTTTCTTTCTTGCCACTCCCTTTGTTTCTGGAATTCAGTTTTCTCTTCATCATCAGTCATGGACATTCATCAGTTACATGTTTCCTGACATGACATGGGAGTTAAACAATTTGAGTTTGAATCTTGGCTCAGGTACACAGTATATATATATATGGCAGAGGGAGGAAGAGAGAGCCAATGGCAAATTACTTATTTTCTTTAGGAATTCAATTTCTTCATCCTTCATATTAGTATACTAACATCTATTGGGCAAAATTTTCTTGAGAGAAAATAAAATTTGTAAA